CCTGGGATCCCCCCTCACCCACTGGGATGCCCTGACCCCCCCTTGGGAACCCCACAATCCCCTGGGACCCCATACTGAGCTTTGGACCCACATAGAACTGCCACGAACCCCTTGGGACAGCCCCAAATTCCTCTGCGTCACCCTAAACACCATTACAGCACCCCAAATCTCTTTGGAACGTTCACAAATTCCCCTCAGGACTGCCCCTGGGACCCTGAAATGTGTCCCCAAACCCTCCTTGTCCCCTGCTAACGCACCCCATTGTCCCCACAGGCACTCCCGGCCACAAGTGTGGCAGCACGAAGCACCGCATCATCTCCCCCAAAGTGGAGCGTGGGGGCGGGGGGAGCACACCGGGGGACCCCCCCAAACCCGCCCCCTCCTCTCCTGACACCACGCAGCCCTCTCCGGGTTTGGGGGTGGGCGCAGCACCCCCCGAAGGGCCCCGAGCCCCCCCGTTCCCACCCGCAGGGGGGCTGCCGCTGTTGGTGGTGGCCAATTTGGGTGGGGGGGCGGCACCGGGGGGACCCGAGCAGCCTCTGGGGCTGACCCCCAGCCAGCACTTGGTGACCCCCGAGGGGACCTGTCCCACCGCGCCGCCCCCCGCCGCTGCCTTCGACCCCGACTGCTTCCTCAACAGCCCCCGCCGAGGGCAGACCTACGGCTGCGAGGCTGAGGCCCCTCCCGGCGCGCCCCCCCCGCCACCAACCGCACCCCCAAAACCGGGGGGTGACGAGGAGGAGGAGGAAGAGGAGGGAAAACAGGGCACAGTCTCCCAGGACCCCCTTTGCGAACTCAGCGCTGCTCCCCCTCCCCAGCATCCCTTCCCTCTCCCCTTCCCCGAACTGCTGGCAGGGGACACCGGGGTCCCCCCAAACTCACGAGAGCCCCCACACACTCCCCATCTCCCCTCTTCACCCCCGGACCCCCCCAGCGATCCCCCCGTGGCCATCACGGATTTCTCCCCGGAGTGGTCCTACCCTGAGGTGAGCGGCGCTTTGGGGGAGCATCCTCCCTGTCACCCCCTTCCCCTGCCACCCTCGGGGTCCCCGGTGACCCCCCGTTTGTCCCCTCAGGGCGGGGTGAAGGTTCTGATCACCGGCCCGTGGGGTGACCCCGGTGTTTACTCCTGTCTGTTTGACCGCACCTCGGTTCCGGCCGCGCTGGTCCAGCCGGGCGTCCTGCGCTGCTACTGCCCCCGTGAGTGTCCCCAAAATGGGGTGGGGGTGTCTCTGTGTCCCCCCTCCCCACAATCCTGACCCCCATTCCGTGTCCTCCTGCAGCCCACGAGGCCGGTGTGGCCGCCCTGCGTGTGGCCTGTCCCCCCCGGCTGCTGTCGGCCGCGGCTCCGTTCGAGTACCGGGCACGGGGGGCGGCGCGGGGCCCKCCCGGGGCACAGCTGGACTGGCTGGCACTGGACGGTGAGTGAGACCCCCCCATAACGGGGGGATACCCCAAAAATGGCTCACACCCTCTGGGGATGGCACCCACACACCTTTGGGGGGACTGTGTCTGTCCCTGTCCCTGTGGGGTGACGCTGTTTGGGGGTGACCCCCTCACCCCCAATTCCCTCCTCTGGCAGAGGCGCAGTTCCGTCTGTCCATCCTGGAGCGCCTGGAGCAGCTGGAGGCTCGTCTGGGGGCCCTTCCCCCACCCGCACCCCTTCCCCCGCTGCGGGGGACCCCCTCTGAAACCCCCCCGGAGCAGGTGAGGGCTCCCCCTCTCCCCTGAAGATCCTGGGGTCTGCTTTGTCCCCAATGTCCCCTGATGTCCCTCGGTGTCATCTGCCATCCCTCTGTCTGTGTCTGTTTGCTGAGGTTCCCCATATCCCTTCGTGTTCTAAAGGGTCTCCTGATGTTCTCTCAGTGTCCCCCGATGTCCCCAGTATGTCCCCAAAGTTTCCTGATC